TTTCAAATTCAAATTTAATATTCTTGCGTCTGTTTATTTATCTACTGTTCGTACCGCTCTGTAACATTGTTAATGTTATAATTATCAGGCGTGTTTGTTATAATTTTAAATAAATAATTATCCCTTTGTTACCTTGGGCTTTGGTGTCTCATTAATTAAAATATGTAGAATCGTTTCTAAAGATAGAGTAAGACATACTTAATATTTTTACTAGTTTTTTATACAATTTAAAATAATATAAAAATAATATTTTAAATTTTATTTTTGCAGTGGTTTTCGAAAATAAAAACATCTTTCCGGAATTAAAGAGTAATGTAATATGTAATCAAATGTTTTTGTATTTATAGCCATAAAATATCAGAAATATAATTAGTAATTTACGTGATGGTAATTGACGTGCAACGCTGCTGGAAGTGACTCCTGAAATACTTGCAGTCGGACACCGCAGACTGTTAATGTTGAAAGTATGTGTGATTTTTTAAGTTTCTTATGATTTTATCTCTTTATTTAATACATTTTAAGACTGAAAAGTAACACCAAATTTTTATTTATTTTAACACATTCACTGTTTGATTGACAGACACAATAGTAAGACAATAGCAATGCATTATATTATGTAATGCACGGGACAGTGAATGTGTTAAGGCTGGAAGAAGTATTTGGGCAGTCTGACAGGGATGCTAAAAAGCAAAACTTACTTCGTCATATTTACTTGGAAGCGGCTTTAAAGGAATCTTTCAGGCTATACCTATTTGGTCCTATGATATTCTGACTTATTGACAAGGACTTAACACTAAGTAGGTCTTAAATTTTTACGTTATATTTATCTCTTATAAACGTACTCCCCTAAACAACAAAACGTATATGTAAAATAATTATTGAAACAATTCTAAAAGACTTTAATAATAATTCTAAAAGTATATTAACAGCTTAAAAGCTCTTCGCTACACTTTAACTACCTCTAATTATTGAGAGGGTTTTGGAGGAAAGAGCTTTGACTGTCTTCACATGCCATCGAAATATGTTGGTTTTTCAGATATGCAGGTTACCTCGCGATGTCTTACTTCACTACCGAGCATCTGATGAATCAACTCATGGAAGTGATAATAACAATATCAATTTTACTGGCGGGGTTGTAGCTTAGTTTGCTCACATGTACTAAGAAATTTAAGGCAAGCGACTGTGGCGGCGTTGTCGTCGTGCCACAAGCGAAAATACATCGAAGCCTAAATCGCGCCATCAAAGGTCTGACCTAAAAAGAAGTATATATGCCTATTGAGGATAAATAAATATTGTCTACGGCCTTTTTTAGGTTTTTTATATCTTGTAAGTTGTTGTCATGGTTACGAAAAATAACAAGAAAAAATGTAAGACTAGTTTTTCGTAATAAGTATATTTTTGTTAGAAGATTAAATGTTTCAAGTCTAAGAAATCTTCTTATTTCAATGTGAGGAGCTACATACAACGGTCATACAGAAACTCCCCACATAATGGCGACCGTGAAAGCGGATAGACCTGGACAAACCGAACTCGACGCTGTGAGTCGTAAAAGGGCATACACACGTCGAGTATTCATCAGGTCAGTGCGAGAGATAGAGGAGTCGAATGATATTGAGAAGATGACTGTCGAATTTCAGTATCTTGTAGAGAAATTGGAAGAGTTAAAATCTTTTGACAGTCCAATAAAAAATATGACGATCGATTCTTGCACGGATGAGCAATTTGATGAAGAATGTGACGAATGCGAATCGTATTTAATAAAGTATTATGCAGTAAAAGTTAAGATTGAAAAATTACGAAAGGAATGTGATAGAGCAAATACATCTTCAGCGGCTACTGACGGATCTCATCAGAAGAGAAACATAAAGCTACCGAATATCGAGCTCATAAAATTCGATGACAATCCGAAGACGTGGTTATCTTTCTGGGGACAGTTCAAAAAGATATACGAGGACGAGACTCTTGAACCCAGAAGATAAGTTCCAGTATCTCATGCAGGCTATGAAGGAGGGGTCCAAAAGCAGAGAGCTCGTAACTAGCTATCCTCCGTCTGGCAAGAATTACCCAAGAGCGCTGGAGCAGCTACAGGGACGATTTGCTCGAGAAGGTATCCTCATCGAGACGTATGTGAGAGAGCTGCTAGGTCTCGTATTATGTCAGGCTAAGGGACAAAATATGGATATAAGATCACTTTACGACCAGTTTATGACCCATTTGCACGCTTTAGAGTCACTCAAAGTAACAACGGAAAAGTACGGAGCGATGTTGTATCCATTAGTCGAATCAGCTTTACCTGAAAATATTTTAATTGTTTGGAATCGAACTAGAATTGTAAACGATGTTGGTCAATTAACGCAACTTTTAGAGTTCTTAAAACGAGAAGCCGAGGCTGAGGAACACATTAAATTGACGCGCGCTAACTTTAATACTTATAGTTCTTCCAGCAGTGTTGATATGCCGCCGACAGCAGCTTGCATTGTTTCGAAAGAGGAGACAAGTTCCAGTAAAACAGGTAATGACTTTTGCTATTTTTGTGATAATACGTCTCATTTGATTCTTCAATGTAATAAAGGGCTCAAAATGTCTTTAGATGAAAAGAGAGCCACTGTCAAAGATAAGAGGGGTTGTTTAATTTGTTTACGTAAAGGTCACGTAGCTAAGCACTGCAAGACGTTTTTAAAATGTATGGCCTGCGTTAAACGTCATGTAGTGATATTTTGTCCGGACCTTCATAGGGATAAACAAAAGGAACCCAAAAAAGCGACAGCACTTTTCTCTAGGAAAGGCGGAAATATTTTATTACAGACTTTGATTTAAGAGGTTTCACATGAGGGTAAAAAGAAGAAAATACGTGCTCTGTGTGATACTGGATCGCAAAGGTCGTATATTAGGAAAAACGTAGTAAAAGAGTTAGGCCTTAAGGTAGTAGGTATAGAGAATTTAGGTTATTCACTATTTAGTGGTGTTACTAAGCCAGCAGAAAACCACAGTCTTGTCGAAGTGAATGTAAGTAGTCTAGATTCTTCTTTCTCTACAAAATTCATTGCTCTTGAACTCGACGACATTTGTGGCTATCTTCCCAAAGCAGACGATCCCAAGCTAAGGTCAAAGTTAAAATCACTGAATATAAGTATTGACGACAGTGACTGTGACCTTAGCGATGTAAATATGTTAATAGGAGCTGATTATTTAGGAGTAATTTATACGGGCACTATTGTACAAATAGATGGGCCTTTAGTAGCTATTAAGACGAGGCTAGGATGGACATTACAGGGCCCTAACTTTTATAATGCTGCACAATGCTCAATGACTCAATTGTCACGCTCAGAGTAAACTTTCAGATTTGTGGGATTTAGAGATATTAGGGATTTCAGAGCCACATGAACAGATGTGCAAAGATAGGAAAAAAGAAGAGGTAATGAGTCAATTTGAGCAGAATATTTGTTTTAAAGACAATTGTTACCAAGTAGGGTTTTTGTGGAAAGATGGTTACCCCGAAATAGGCAGTAATTACAATGTAGCTTATACAAGACTTTTAACGACGACTAGGAAGTTAGAGAGGACTGATCATTTGCTAAGTTATAACGATGTTTTTCAGAATTGGTTAGACGAAGATATTATAGAACATACTGAAAACAATATAGCAGAAGGACACTTTATTCCTCATCACGCAGTCATTAAGATGTCTAGGACTACAACGAAGATACGTCCAGTATTTGACACATCATGTAAAGATGCGCAAGGATTGTCTTTGAATAACTGCATCGAATCGGGTACCAATCTTATCCCTAAATTATTGATGAACAAAATGAAAAAATTGATCAATAATTTACTAATCCCTAAATTATTGATGAACTTTAGGAAAGGTACGTACGGCGTCACGTCGGATATAAAGCAAGCCTTTCTGCAAATTTTAGTTTCAGAGAAAGATAGAGAGTATTTAAAGTTTCTGTGGTGGGAGAATCCGTTAACCAAAGAGAAGATAGTCACTTTCAGACATAAGAGAGTAGTATTTGGGGTGACTTGTAGTCCATTTCTCTTGGCGGCTACGATTAATTATCACTTAGGCAATTTTGAAGGAATGTACGGTCAGACAGTTGAAATTTTGAAACACTCCTTTTATGTTGATAATTGTGTAGCTAGTTTTGATACAAAAGAGGCTTTATTTACTTTTATAGACGAAGCTAAGGAAGTTATGCTAAAGGGGGGTTTTAATTTACGATGTTGGGTTACCGCTCCTATTAGAGTAGATAACACTGTCCAGACTCAATCTTTATTAGGAGTGCTATGGAATACTCTTACGGACGAATTACAGTGTAGTTTCCGTCTTAGTAGCACTATACTAGATCGGGTCACGAAGAGAGATCTTTTGTCATTAACTAAGCAGATATTTGACCCTATTGGATTTCTTGCACCTGTTACCCTAGTGCCTAAACTAATAGTACAAAAGGCTTGGATATATAGTACAGGTTGGGATCAAGCTATCAGCAACGAGTTATCGAAGGAATTTAAGAGTTGGCTAAATCATGTTCATCTGATAAATGATTGCAAGTTGCCGAGACGCTTATCAGAGGAGAGGTTGACGAACTGTAACAGAAGTTTACATTTGTTTTGTGACGCATCTATTAATGCTTATGCAGGTTGTGTCTTTCTTCAGACCAAATGCAAAAGTAAAGTTACGATTAGGCTGGTTATGGCCAAAAGTAGAGTAGCGCCTATTAAAAGATCAATAACTTTACCTAGATTGGAGCTAATGGGAGCGCTTATTGCATCGCGGCTTGCAAATGAGATAAGTAGAACGTTGTTTACCGACGACACCTGCCCGTTATATTGCTGGACAGACTCCGCAGTTGTGTTAGCCTGGATCCAAAAGACAGTGTTCTTGGAAGCCGTTTGTGAGCAATAGGGTAAGTGAAATTTGTGCTCACACTAAGAAGGAATATTGGCGGCACGTACCGGGCCACTGCAATCCGGCAGACCTACTGTCACGTGGCTGTAATATGAAGACATTAATGGACAGTCACTGGTGGGATGGCCCTGCTTGGCTATTATCTGACCAAGAACTGTGGCCTCAGTCTAATCACATCGCAGTAGATGAGAACGCTGTTTCCATAGAAGCAAAGAAGGAGGTACTTGTAAATACTAATGTAGGTACTGAACATTTTAGCGAGAAGCTTTTATACGTTTCTAAGTATTCAAGAATTGTACGTGTAGTAGCTTGGATATTCCGATGGAGAAGGCGACGAATGTTTAGTATAGCTTATTATAAGCAATGATGAATTCGAAGAAGCTGAGAATATACTTATAAGACTTATTCAGGCTGAACATTATGTAAATAGAACTAAATTGAATAAGAAACTGTGCATACATTTAGATAGTAATAGTATTATGAGAGTAAAGACTAGATTAGGTTTAGGAAATTATGACAAAGATTTTTCGAGTCCCATATTATTATCAGGAAAAAACGTCATTGTGAGGCGACTCGTTGAAGAGAAACATATATACTTAAAGCACATTGGATCACATACTTTAATGTCAGAGCTGAGAAACAGATTCTGGATTACAAGTGTGAGATGGCTATGTAAGAATATAGTTAAGAAATGCATAATTTGTCGTAGGCAAAAGGGGCATACATTATGATACACCGGAAACACCACTCCCTCTTGAACGGATTCAAGGCACGGCAGCGTTTCAAATGACAGGTATAGATCTGGCCGGGCCGTTGTATTTACGTAATCAAGAGAAATGTTGGGTGGTTTTATTTACTTGCGCGACATTTAGGGCTGTGCATTTTGAGATGGTAGACTCATTGTCCACAAATAGTTTTATTATGAGTCTTCGTAGATTTATTGCTCGAAGAGGTCGTATAGATGTCATTTTCACGGACAACGGAACAAATTTTCGAGGGACTGCCAATTTACTGAAGGATATTAATTGGCAGGAGGTTGAAAGTGTGACGGCAGTCCATGCTATAAAGTGGCGTTTTATTCCACCTAGAACTCCTTGGTGGGGAGGTTGGTGGGAGAGGCTCATTAGAGTATTAAAGGAGATGTTGCGAAGAATATTGGGGCGTCAGAGATTGACTTGGGTAGAGTTGGACACAGTCTTGTGCGATTGTGAAGCTGTCATTAATAGTCGGCCACTAAAGTATGTCTCGACTTGTACCGACGATTTGCGGCCACTTACACCTATGTTATTTCTACATGGCTTACCTTCTAATGATACTTCTGATTTAGATTATGTAGATAATATGAATTTAAATGTAAGATACAAATATTTACAAAAGTTGAGAGAAGATTTCAGAGTTCGATTTCGTAAGGAGTATTTGGCTTTACTTACAGCTAGATGGAAGGAGAAGACAATAGAAATGAAGAAAGGAGATATAGTTCTAGTAGAGACAGACGCGAAAAGGCTATTTTGGCCCTTGGGGTTAATCATGGAAGTAGTTACCGGGGCTGATGGTGTTACTCGTTTGGCTAGAGTCAAGACTCAAAAAGGTGAAACTTTAAAACCATGTCAGAGATTGTATCCGCTTGAGATTTCAAATGATTCTGACCTCTTGCAACGAGCTGAAGTAACGATAGAGGATGAGAAGTTATCAGTAAGTTCAGATAGTCCCGACTTAACCTCCTCGGTTACAGGTGGCGGGAAGGTGACAAAAACAACGCGGTGCGGTCGAAATGTGAAATTGCCTGCTCAGTACTTATGAATTACATTTGGTTTTATGGTTTTCCTTAGTATGTTGAGTTGCGTTAATTGGTTACCATTTTTTTTCGGGTCTGGAGTGTGTTGAGGATAAATAAATATTGTCTACGGCCTTTTTTAGGTTTTTTATATCTTGTAAGTTGTTGTCATGGTTACGAAAAATAACAAGAAAAAATGTAAGACTAGTTTTTCGTAATAATTATATTTTTGTTAGAAGATTAAATGTTTCAAGTCTAAGAAATCTTCTTATTTCAATGTGAGGAGCTACATACAACGGTCATACAGAAACTCCCCACAATGCCGCTCCCTGGGTAGAACACCTTCCTTTCTACGGCCACACGTCCATTGGCTGTACAATCGCAGTTTACATAGTATGTAAACAGTACCAAATATTTTATTCTGCAGACCATTCACAACCAACAAAAGGGATAGTGTAAATAACTAGTCACAAGTGAGATGTGTGAGAGGAAGATATAAAAAAGTTCTTTCGATTTTTACAAAAAATTATACTTTATACTCTGGAAAAATTTGTTTTTTATCCATCTGTAGAGCACACCGTCATCCTGTGTGGGGTGAATATGCAAAAAATTTTAAGCCAGAAAAATAGTTGAACCCCGAAACCTTAATCCAAATTACATTTACAATTATATTTAGCATGGGAGGAGGAAATTGCATAGGTATAAATACTACAATATTACTTTTCTAAATAAATAATTTCTATTAAAGACAAATATATATAAAGATAAAGATAAATGTGCATCGTATCCGAGAGAGGTGCGTTTGCGAATATAAATCAGCTTTTTTGTTAGCTGTTTACTTGTGTTTACCACAAGTGTGTATCAACCAAGGAAGTTTTTGTAGCAAATTTAATTTCTTTTTTTTCCAGGTAAGACTTACGCGATAATGTGGTTAAAGAAAATTATTTCAATTTTTTACTAGTTAATGGCGATCACAAAAAAGTTTTGCTTAAGTTCAATTTCCTACTTAAACTTTATTCGGGTCTTTACGTTGCTATTGAAAGAAGAAAATAAACATAGAATTCGAAAACAGTAATCTAGCGTAATACGTTAGTTAAAATATAATAAATTTAGCTGTGCAAATGCTACTTTGTTTAATTATGTTATAATAGTTAAATAGAAATAATTGATTGAAGAAATATGTAATCCAGATACTCCTAGTTCTTAAAGATATGGCTGCAAAAAATTTAGTTAAAGAAAGAATCATCCTAAAATTGTTTTCTTTGCCGAAAGACATTCTTTTGCCTTTTTAATATCCATAGCAATCCGTTCATTGCTATTGCAAATGATTTATTTCAATTAAATAGAGATTTAGAAAGGATGTTGAATAAAAAAAATGATACACATTTAACCGGTGCATGAATCTGCGTTACAAAACTGCATCATAAAAATTAATATTGTTTTTAATTAAACCTTCATTACTAATACTAAACAATATAAATTAGTTTTACACAGATGATTGTTTTAACTTAATTATAGTCTGGAATATCGTATTTCCCAGTTTAGTGGTTAGCATGTCCTGTGTGACACATAGGCCTCCAGCTTTTTCCATTTTTCTCTGTTGTTAGCTTTTCTTGACTTTATTGTCTCTCCAATAATCTTGATATCTTCTGTCCATCTTTCGGCTTGTCGGTCTCTTTTTCTTTAGCCATTATGAGGTTGCGATTCCGTTATGATTTTTGTCCATTTTATCCTGCTGTATCATGTCATATGTCCTGTCCATCGCCATTTCAACTGTCTAATTTTCTTTATTATGTCTCCTACCTTTGTTGTAGATCTAATATCTTCTGCTCTTTTGCGGTCTTTTAGCGTCACCCCCAACATACTTTTTTCAATTCCCCTTTGACTTGTTCTCAGTTTTAGACACATCCGGTTGGGTCGTCGAATAATACAAACGCCATAAAGTGTGCTCCGAAATATAAACACAACTTTTGAAAACTGAATAAATTTGTAAACTGTGCAAGTGAATCGAAAAATAAAGACTGAAAGCCCAAATAAAGCAATAAAAATCATGTGTTTTTTGTCTAGAACAAAATAAGTGCATATAAATTCGTCTTATTCTAACCTCTAAAAATAAACATTACTTAACTTTGAAATATATCAGTGCCAGTGCTACCAATATCAGAGAACGGAACACTGCGTTTTGTTCCACCACAGACTAATTAGTGGATTCTACCCAATCGTTCCACGTAATCCATTGTCTAAGTGTTGTCACATCTACAAATTAAATGACAACCAAATTATACTGCTGCTGCCTTATCTAAAAACAAATTACTATGAAAATAGAAGTGTTGCTTATATCAAAAACTGAATACATAAATTTACAGTGGACGAGCTAATGGAATTACTGTTTTCAAGAATGAAACCAGAAATGGATGAAAAATAACGACTAACAGAGTCAATATTGGAAGCTATATTTAAAAAAATGGATGATAAATAATAGCTATTATGAAGAGTCAGAATGTGTAAAATAAGGCACAAATGGCAATTCATAATTCTGTGTTAGTCCCTACTTTAATGTACGGTAGTGAAAGTTGGGTCTGGCAGAAGAAGCATGAGAGTAGAATAAATGCTGTAAAAATGCTATAATTAAGGGGTATGCTAGGGCTGAATCTGAATGACAGGGTCAGAAATAGTGTGATTAGAGAAAAGTGTGGTTTGCAAGTTGCAAGTTGTGAGAAGGATTAAGAAAGGAATGCTTCGGTGGTTTGGTCATGTAGAAAGAATGAACGAGAAAAGAGTGACAAAGCAAATTTATGTTTCAGAAGTGAACGGCAGAGTCGGTAAGGGACGCCCTAGACGAAGGTTCATCGATCAAATCGGCGATACATTGAAAATGGGCCAGATTAGGAGTACCATTAATCGACGAGCGTGTATGCGTAAATATATGGTTGTAAAGGAGGCGAGAATGGTGTGCCGGGATCATGCCAAATGGAAGTCCGTAGTCTCTGCCTACCTCTCTGGGTGACAGGCATGAGTGTTTGTGTGTGTGGATGACAAGCTGAAACCACTTATTGAAGAAAATCTGTATCTAAAAAATGAATAGGAGAAATTAAATAAGAAGGTGAAACCTCTGTAACTTGGAAAAGAAGTCTGGAACTTGGATTCTTTTTTTATTTGATAGCTGTATAGGTTGTACAACATTTTTAATTTTAACACTTGTTGGGTCAGTAATTTAAAATTAAAAATTTTGTACAACCGACTTCAATATTTATTATTAAGAATAACTTAAAAACTATTGGAGAGACTTTGATTTAATTTAAAAGGGACCACATGAAAAGCAACAGCTTTCAAATAAAAAAATAATCGTCGAAATCGGTTCACGTAGAACAAAGTTGTGAGGTAAAACACATAAAAAAACATAAAGTCGAATTGAGTACCTCCTCCTTTTTGAAGTCAGTAGAAATATCTACGGCCAATGTTCAGTAGCGACATGTATGTAGTCTGCTAGTTTTTTAAATTGTGATGGGGCAATTATATAATTTTTATTTCATTCATATTTTCGGAGATATTGCTTTTTGTTTTCATACTATCGCTAATATTAAGGATAGCAAAAATTGGAAAGAGTAGAACTCATCATCGTCATCATTATAGCCTATCAAAAGTCTACTGACTGAACATAAGCCTCTCCCATTGATTGTCAAATAGGCTGGATATTTGCTATAGTTGACACGCTTAGCAGGCGGGTTGGCAACCGTAGCTTTTATTATTTTGTTCTGTTGTCAGGGAGATGATGTTGCTCATCTCCTGTTTGTTTTCCTCTGTCACCCCTTACGACATACATGGGACGATGGATTCTCTTTTACCACCATAACAAGGCGAACATTTTTTGTACTCCCATTCATGAATGTTGCAGTAAAATTTATCTTAAGGATTTTGTCGCGTTTAACTTTAACTTTTTTAATTTTTGACGTTTCGGGAACTTTATGGAACCCATGTCTATGGATGGGCCATGGGTTCTATAAAGCGCCGAATGGGGGAGAATGTAGTGCTTGATATTCTGATGTAATAGTCAACGAAGACCACCATCAACTTTTAATTGTAATTGCAATAATATGCTTGGGTTTGGATTTAACTTTATTAATTATGGCATACATAGCAGATAGTAGCACCCAGCCATCTTCTTTATAGAAATCACTTTTTTTTTAAATTCAATAGCTATTTCACATATTTTTGGTATAAATCGTTGTTCTACTGCTAGGATTTATAGTCTATCAGATCTAGTACTGAACTTGTTGACATTCTTCAGACTTCTCGCAGCGTCGGTGTTTCACACCAGTGATATGTTCTTTTACGCGGGTTATTATGAAATTTTCATCCAAAGTTTTGTAAAAAATAAACCCTGTAAAAAAAGTTTAATTTAAATGTGATAAAATCATTACTACAGAACAGAATTTATGAAATTTTAAAATTTACTAATGCATAAAAAAAAGCAAATATTTTATCGTGCCAATCAATATTAAAGGGGACTAATGATAGCAAATAAAAATTATACCATAAGTTGGTAGACCATGAAATCATCATTATCATCATGACTCGTCATTAAAACTAAATTAACCGTAATTATTAATAAATGTTAAGAGTAAAATGTTAGTAAATAATAATAATATATTTTGATTCCAAGACAATTTACCTTTCTTGTGAATACATCGGAGACACACCCGATATAAAAAGTAGATGGTTCTAGACATATAATATTAATTCAACTCTGAAAACTTAATTATGAATGTGTCCCTCTAGTGTACTATATCTATGCCAAATATCAATTATCTACGTCCAATAGTCTTTGAGAATTCAAAGATTTTTTTTGACAAACAGACATAGACACAGACACCGAGGTGACTGTGTCTCTGTCTGTGAAATTTGACACGGAACAGCATTTAATGATGTTCCTAAATTGAAGCTCACGCAAGCGAAGCCGCGGGTAAAAAGCCAGTATGAAAATATACGTCTCAATGGGAAAGACATAACCCTCCTTTTTGAATTT